CAAGCAACGTGTACAATTGACCTACCAATCTACACATCATTGTAAAAATTTTCATTTTCCTGGAATAAAATATTATTTTGAGGAAAATATAGACTTGACAAGGACTGATATGAGCCAAAAAATACTTTAAAAGCTTATATGTTAAGCTTGCCAGCTAGATCTGATTCTCTCTTAAAATCTAAAGTGATGATTATGTGTTTAAATGTTTTTGAAATAACTTGAAAATAGACATCAGGCGAGCTATTTCAGGTCAGATAACAAGGCAGCTATAGTACAAATCCCCTTAAACTTGAATTTTCATCAGTTTTAGTCATGGGCTTTCAACAGAAGGGTATGCGACTTCCCATATTTCATTCATACATGACATAAGTATTGCCTTGGGTTTTAAAAATTGGAGAAAAATGCTTCCTGTACCAATTCCAGAAAAATCTTATTTTGTACTTTTCATGTATGATTTAACTCAAACATAAAAACATGATTATCTCATCTGCATACAGGTTGATGATTAATATAAAATGGAATTCACCACAATTATGGCAATAATGAAAGTGAACATTCTCCCATAAATTATTTTTTTATTGGATCGAATGTCTTCTTGAATTATTACACACAGTGCAACATTTGAAGAGAACATTTTGATACCTCTTTCTTATCTGTTTTTTTTTTGTTTACGTTTAAATGAGATTAATCATGTTTTTTGCTTTAAACATATTCAAAATTAATTTTTCTTCAAGATAATACTAAAACATATACATTTATCTATTTATTTAAAGCTCTTTGAAATATTATCAAAAAGGGAAGCATGGCACTGCTCATTTTGAAGTTCTCATGTTTATAACACAGAGTTGCATGCCCTTCTCTTAAAAGCCCATGGTTTTAGTGGATCAATATTCATATTACCCTAAAGTATGTCCTGTGAAAGAAAATGTTATCTGTCCAATACAAGAAAAGATATTTCACTTTGTATGATTTTATAACATGTGATCTACAGGTCTAAAAGGAATCTGTCCAACCTAGAAGTAACATTTTCAACAGTTCAAAGAAAATTAATTTTCAGAGTTTATAAACCATTTTTGAAACCATATTTGTAGAATAAGTTACTGTTTACTAGAAATATGTAGATTTCAAATATGATATCACATTGACTGAATTTTGAATATTTAATGGTGTAAATCAAGATTATTTCTAACAACTAGTCCATTGATATATTTTCAAATTGATTACAGAAAACATGATCTTTTTTCCTATCAAGTTTCTTATAATATAACATCAATATTCATGTATTTTTCTAATTTTTCAGATTTTTTGTGTTGGCTCAAGATGTTCCCTGCCATAGGTGCAAAAATGACTGGCTTCAAAGGTTACTGGATACATCAACAATATCAAGCTTAGATTTACAACTTTATGAAACAATCAACAAAAATGAAAGTGTAACGTTACACCATTCACCATCACCTATTAATGTGACAGTTAAATCAACTTTCCTGATGAAACAACATGGAGAACAGACCATGTCCATACCAGTAGAGTATTGATAAGGTGAAAACAAAGTGAGACTGTGCAGTGTTAACGAGATACCAAAAACGATATACTCAAAATGATAACAATGAATGATAACACAACTTTGATAATGGCATGAAAATTGAACTATAAAGAGAGTCAGTTAGCCGGAACAATTTGATTCTCCTGTCTTCCAACTCTTTGAGGTAATGATTTATTATTCAAAATTATATAGGGCAGGCTCGTAGCCAGGGGGGTTCGCAGGGTTCGGGGAACCCCCCTGGCCAAAAATTCTTTCAAAATCATGCAGTTTTTCACCATTTTGAGCACTTCTCAAATTGTCAAATGTGAACCCCCCCTGGAAATTTTTGAAAACTGAACCCCCCCCCCCCCCTTGGCAAATCCTGGCTACGGGCCTGTAAGGATATATTGGAAAATACTAATATTGGAAATATACTGGAAAATACTATTTGCTGGAAAGATGTACAGGGTGTCCTGAAAGTATGGGAACCACATAGGCAGAATATACCAATGCCCTCATAGCATGTGTTAAAGCTTATCCAAAGTTACATTGATTTGCCAAGTATCGTGTTTCAATTCCCAAATTGGAAAAAGGTTACAGACATTTCAAAATTTAGTTTTTGTTGGGTACAGTTGAAGTTCGGTTTTACACTAAATTAGTATTAAGTGTGTCTTTCCTTGGCCATGTTGCATTTTAAATCCTCTTAAAACAGAGAACAAAGAAGAGTTTCCACGGAGTATTTTCCCTCACCTTGGCCAAACACTATTTGAGAGTTGAATCATGACACTGGGCAAGTCAATGTAATTCTGGATAACCTTCAAAATGATATATGACACATACTGTGAAGGCATTGGCCAAACACTATTTGAGAGTTGAATCATGACACTGGGCAAGTCAATGTAATTCTGGATAACCTTCAAAATGATATATGACACATACTGTGAAGGCATTGGTATATGTCTGCCTAGGGGGTCCCATACTTTCAGGACACCCTGTACATTGGTAAATAGTTTTAAAAATCTTAGTTTTTCATTTTAACCAAATTAATGATTATTTCTGCTTATCTAAAATTTGGGTTGTCTATCCATTGAATCTGTGTTTTTTTGGCATGACCCCCCCACAAGGGCTGTGTTGACAAAAAGGGTTGGAAATATGTGGCTGGAATTATGAAATTATGATTCTTGAAAAAATGTTAAATGTAATTTTTACATGTTTTTATTTTCATTTTCTGCTAATCAGCATGCAACCTGGTGGATGGATGCCACATATTTCTCGACTTGTCATTAAAATACCAAGAAAACAACCTATCAGTTATTTCACATGGCCTCAATTTTTAAATAAATCTTGTCATCAAAATGTCTTCCACTTATGGTATTCAATTTGAATTTGTACAACTTTGATGTATAACTTTAAAGTCTATAGCTGACTAACTTTTGGAACTCTGAAGGATAGAACTTAATAAAAATCTACTGGTGCTATGCTCCTTTAGAGTGATATTTATTATCCCATCGAACGAAGTTCGGAGGGATATAGGGAACGCCTCCGTCCGTCCGTCCGTCCGTCCATCCGGGCAATAACTCAAATACCGTTGGCCCAATTTTGTTCATATTTTGTACACATATACCCTATGGGAGAAGAAGTTCTGCTCAAAAGCCGATTTTCAAAATGGCCGCTCATTTCAAAATGGCGGCCATTTTAGTGCCGATTTTACAGTAATTTAGGTGCAATATGTAGAACTGTAATAGCAATATATTTTAAATGTAAAAATATTATAAAGGACATCAAAGGTGCAATAATTAGTGCAGAGGGGTCATTCAACGATCATGGACCAGTGTCAAAATATATTTAAGTTTGGATATTTCATCAAGACTAACATCTATTTTTATTATCTACAAAGAAACCCCCTAGATAAACATTATTTTAGCTCATATTCCTCTTGAAACAGGGTGGATCTTAAAAATATAAAAGTGGAAGTCCCCTTTTTGAAGCTTTGAACTGAATTTACACTTCTTAATGCTGAAATTGATAATTTATCCATACGTTTTAAGAAAATAGGTATGTCAAAGAAGATGTTAAACCAAATGTTGCCTTGATAGCTCAGAAAAAATGAAAAAACTTTCCTTTTTTCTCTACAGTCCTTATTGCCCCTTTAATAATGCTACAAATGTAGATATGAAAGAAGCACATGGTAGCCATCTTGAAAAATGGCAGCCTTTACTCATCATTTTACGATTTTGCTGTAACTCAAAAAATAGTGGAGCGATTTTGTTCATATTTGGTATGTGAATACTATAAGCATGGCACACTGTCCTATGACACTTTTGGTAGAAGGTGGCCATTTTGACAAAAATTTTGAAAAATGTATTTTACTATAACTCGAAAAGTAGTGGAGCGATTTTGTTCATATTTGTTATGTGAATACTATAAGCATGGCACACTGTCCTATGACACTTTTGGTAGAAGGCGGCCATTTTGAGAAAAAAAATGAAAAATGGCCGCCATTTTAGGGAAATTAGGGAAATTAGGGCACACTTTAAAATCACTTAAGATGAATTCCCCATAGTAAATCAGTTATAGTATGGTTTAGAAGGTATCAATTAAGTTCTGCTATATTGAACACATGCAATATTATATAAATTGTATTGAATATGAAAATAAAGTGAATTATTGATGATATTTAAAATAATTATAACATCTGTAATTTTTCAACAAATGACTATTCTCGATTTGGAGAACGAAGTTCATCACTCAAACGTTACCCCTGCTTTGGACAATTTTTTTTACATTATTTAGGCTAGATTTCAATGTCTTCTTTTGAATAGTCATTTTAATTTAATTTGGGTGATATTTCATAAAAAAATTATGAGTGCAGTAAACTGATGAACTTCTTTCTCTAAATCTAGACTTGTATTTTATTGAATCGGTTTAATGCATGTTACCCCTGCTTCGAACAATTGTGATGTTTTTATATCTTGCAGAATTAAGTGTCTTCTTTTGAATATTCATGATTTAATTTGGTTGATATTTCTATATTTTTCATAAAAAATTATAAGCCCAGGAGACTGTTCTCCAAACCGCGAAGGCTCTTGTGTATAGTTTTATATGTAACTGTCAGACTGTTACTAATATAAGGTTTGTGGAAATAAAATGAATTGTCAGTATTTCTAGATTTTGCTCTTTATTTTTGCGATGAGACTTTTTATTCTCAAGGTGCTATTTTTTACCATTAGCAACCAATTAAATAGTAGGCCAAAAGTGGAGTGATTGGATCAATATTTTTATGTATACGTTAACAATGGTTGCCTCAAGTCAAGCCCCTCCAGTGATAAATGAAGAAATGTAACCTCTTGCAATGGCTATTTAACACTAGGTCTGCCATTCCTTATTTATGTCCCAGCATTGATTCCAATTTCAATAGCTAAATTCAGTTGAAAATCATAATTAAAGTTATTACTCTATATTTTTCTGAGTTTTCTGATTTAGTTACATTTACCAATAGAATTTTTATTTTCGATGGTAACCGGGTACTACTAGTAATCGGTATGTTATAATTTGCCTTTTGGGTCACTGTACTCAGTGACCGGTATCATTGCCCAACATTCCTGTGGAATGAAGTACATGTAGTTGCTCACTCTAGAATAGACATCAGGAGACGGTAGCCAGGTAGCCGATTAAATACAAATAATCGCGCGTGTTATGCAGTTTTAAGGTATGTGCAGTACCTATATGGCACAGACTTTCTTTTATCTCGTTGGTAAGGCGATTTACCAAGAACAAGTCGGTTGCATAGCTCACTAAACTCATCGAATGTCAGAAGGAAAATCGCCATTCAGCTGATTCCAAATCGAGTCAGCCCCGATAAGGACAACTCACTTCAACTAAATGTCCAGCGAACATGTCTAGTAGAGACCCAGACACACTTATATGAAGGGACATAGACCACTCGCGTCATAACTTATAAAATTACACCGTGAAATACATGTTCAAGTTGAAAACAACAGTTCAAACTGCCGAACTAGAACCGAACTAGTGGTTTTTATTCGATTGTTTCAAGGGGTCTTCAAAATTCTCGCAATGAAAGTTGCAATTACCCTACTTATATAGAAGTCGCGCGATCGAAACCTATTTAAATCGTAAAAAGAAACTATACTTTATGTCTCTGCCAAGTATAAAGTGTAAATATTCAGTAGTTTTTGCAGGATTAGAAAATCTATTCGGGAGGTGGGGATTCTGGACATATGCCGTGATTTTTTAATCACCGGCGCGTAGTGATAATCGTGACGTCATATTTTGGTTTGGCCGCCCAGCTGTAAGGACTGATATCCCCATATAGAATCCAAAGAAACCACCAATTGATGACAGCATCTCTGTAAATGTGAAACTCTCGTCTTGTTCTGTTAATATGATCTCTAAATCCTTGAAGTAGATGTTAAGCCGCAGGATGTTCTTTTTCATGTGACGTTTCCAAACTTCACTTGAGATGTTTAAGTGTTTCATTGAGTTGTAGGCAGTGAGGTCATCGCGATCAGGACGATTGTTTATGTAGTGATCGTAAATAGCTTTCATGTACATTTCTTCTGGCCAGGCACTTGCAGATGTTGTGATTTCATATGTAGTGTCCATACAGGGTGGGAAACAAGCACACGATTTCTTGTCATTTTCCGAGTAGAAATTTAAATTTATATTTTGCTGGCATCTCAGTGTTTCGAACAGTTGATCCAATTCTGTGATATTAGGATGAGGAGACAGTGCATTTTCTATATCAAACCTACCACAATAGCTAAGATTTCCTGTCATTTTTAGTCCTAATGTATATGGTTTAGAGTCATGGGGCTCTCCCAATGATGTGCAGCCACATTTCTCTCGAGTTAGTGCCTGTTTGCAAATCCCCATGCACAATGTCTCAGAATGGGCATATCCTATGTCATCTATAAAGAAAGGTTTGGTACAGTTACCATGGGGATATGTTAGATATTTGTTCACATGTGTCTTGATCCTTATACTTGTAGACTGCCCAGGCATTATCTGCACTCCTTTAGTAACGGGGTCAGGCTGAATCTCAGGGGGGTGAACCTGGACATATAAACCAGAACCCCCCTGTATCACAGATTCTGTGTCATACATAACATTATCTACTCCTTCTCGATAAGTGTCCAAGAAAACTAACATACTAAGACCACGTGTCGGCCCTGATGTTGAAATTTTGATTTTTTCGGCAGATTGGTTCCCATTTATAGTGACACATATACCAAATGAAGGATTCATAATGTGCTTAAAGAAGTCATTATCACGAGGACATGGTTTAGAGTTAATTTTGCAACTAAGGATAATATCAGTCCAATTATGACTTTGTAGAGACCAATATCCAAAGTTCACATTTGTCATGATACTTTCCGAACTTTTGAATCTTTCCTCGAATTCTTCAAAACCTGGAATGGTTTTTAATGTATCATACTTCATTAGAAACTGAGCATACTCTATAAAACTTTGTAAATTCACTCTGTTTTTTAATTTTGCTTTGTAGGCAGACACAGGGCTTACATTGCACAGTGTTACAGCCGGAAAGTCTTGTTTTGTGGTGTACTTTGATACAATTTCATTGGTAGGAAAGTTTAAATAAATGACAAAACTTGAAAATATTCCATACAGCATTCCTGTTCCCGATGCTATGATACATATGACCCAAAGCACATGTAAAACCCCATATTTTGAGGTTACTAAATGTGCAAATCCATGAGCAGATGTATTGGATGCAAAATCTTCAGCCAGTTCTTTCTTTGTCTTATTCTTACTCTTTAATTTTTTTGTATCTTTTTCTGTGTTATTCATATGTTGTTGTCTGTCAGTCATTTTAGTGTTAATACTTTCCATATCCTTCGCATGAATGATTGAGCTTCAAAGATTGTTGATTATTCATGAAAAATTGCTGCGATGAATCTGTCCAGTAGGTTGTGTAATTGTGTGTACTAGAGCTGTTCAATAAATACTGGTACAAACCCTTTTGTTTCCATGTACCATGGTATATCGCGGAATCGAGGAGATATCTTTGGATTGAAGCCACTATATGTGTATTAATACTAAGTTAATATTATGAAGTTATTTATTGAAAGATCCTCATACCAGTTAAAGTGTATTTACAAACACTTAGTTGCTTGTTGCTGGTCTGAACACTTAGTTGCGTTTGAGTTAAATTAATTTTCCATTAATATGAATCTAGTTTTAATGTTTTAATGGATCACATTAACACTTAGTTGCGTTTGAGTTAAATTAATTTTCCATTAATATGAATCTAGTTTTAATGTTTTAATGGATCACATTAACACTAAGTACTAAGTAAAGTACATGATGTAATTGATCTGTTAATTTAAATAGATGAAACATGTAAACACATAATTACATTTATCCCATACTTGGACCTGTTACAGGTACATAAAGCCGGTTTGTAAAAACTTATATTTTCATCAGCGGGCAGATATAGCTTTACGTCCCGCTCCGAGCGGGCAGATATAGTATATCTGCCCGCTACGTCATAATCGCTGTTCCCGTATTGGTTCTTTTTTGTAACGCCCGCATACTGTAAACGACAATGGAGAAAAACGCAGACAATCGCGATCTGTTTGATGCTTTAAAGAGGGGAAAGAGCAGTATGCCCCGTTAATAATCAAAGATTTGAACAGGAAAATCCGGCCACGGACAAGAATACAAACTGGACATGAATATTTTAAAATAATTCCACGGTTGGTTGCAAAGTTTCTGAACTTTGGCCAATTGAACAATGTGATTGGTATGGGATAAACAGATCATCCTATAGTCGGTTCAGGATATTGGGATTATCCCTTGGCCAATATAATATATCTACCCTCGGGACCTACGGCCCTCGGGCAGATATATTATATTGGCCTCGGGATAATGCCAATATCCTGAACCTCTTATAGGATAATCTCTATATAACCCCATTACCATCCAGTGCTAAAGATACCCACATGCTCTATTAAATTACCGTATTCTCTGTAATTAGCGCCCAGGGCGTTTAGAAAATTGAAAATACATTATTTAGACCATTCTAATAAGCGCCCATGTATGAAAGAAATCAGAAATCCCGAGGAATTTCATGTATGGCAATTTTTCTTGACAAGAATGCATTTTCTTCAACATATTTTTATAATAATATGACAAGTGCTGTTATTGGAGAGAATACGGTAAAGATCGCTTAGACAATATTGACAGTGGTTGAAGACCCGTCTATGTCTAATTTATTTCCGGCACGCCCACTTTGTCATTATCGCCGATTACCTTCAATATTTCCACTAGAGACTGCTGGATTTCGATCTAAAGTTATACATTATTTCCAATTTGATGAGAGATCATCATTATTCGTGCAAAAGTCGTGTAAAAGTCGAGAAACATTAAAAAGAAACCAGAAAGTTCACGACCTTGACATGCGCAGAACATCTGCGCAGTAGCTTTTGAAATTTCTGAATGCCGATAAAGAACAATTCCTTCATTCATTATGGACTATTTGGAGACAATATTAGCATGGTATGGTGTGGGAAGCACCCATCGATAGATATGTATCGAGAGGATGCATAGAATTACAAAACGCGTCGTGTTTACAGCAGTTTTAGGGTAAGTACTCTATTATCGCCCGCTCCTGGATTTTGAGAAATATTTTTTTCCTGATATATTCTTCAATTCTTGTTGATTCCTCGATGTTTCTTGAACTTTGTGAAGCGGGGTGGGCGCTTATTAGAGAGTGGGCGGTAATTACAGAGAATACGGTAATAGAATTCATCTAAAATCACATACAGTAATATAAGTTTGCTACTTTTTATTAATAATTGAGACTATTTGATTTGGAGTATTTTTCATATCTATTTATTCGAACGCATAATAGTTTGCTTCATTTTGGTTATTCCATTATACATGTGATGACACAATTTCTTCGGGATCTCTTTTCTAATAAGTGAACTCTACCATTTTAAATTAACTCGTAAATGACCATCATTAGAGGTATTGTTCTGAAACTGTGTGTATTCTACAGGTTCGTGTATATATAAATGACCTTCATTATGTAAGGTTATGTATTTGAAGGAGTGGCTTTTGGGTTTAATGTTAGAAGCTGACTGTTGTCCTTCAGCAGGGAGTATCTCAGTGGGTTTCATAACAAAGTCTATAAGCTTGATAGCTAGATAGCTGGAGGAAGGGTAATTTAATAGCCATACTAGAACAGCCACATCAGTCAAAATAATGGGAGTCCAGTAAATCAGTGTTATATTTTTAAAGTGCTGTATTGTTATCTTGTATCTATATTGTCATCTTCTCATCTATATACACATATTATCTCATGTTAAAAATCTAGTGTGTCTGTGTTTGCATTTTGGATGTATTTTGGTGGATGCCACAAAATTCTTGTTAGCAGAATTTCTTTTACCCATTTAGAGTGGATACTCATCTTTCATTCCATATAAAGAAAACATAAATTGATAAAATATTGTGATGGTAAGGAGTTCTAGAGCTGATTAAATTTTCGGTGGCAATCTTGCATTCTTACAGCCATCTTGGAAGTTTTTAGATAAATCTTGTCATCACGTTTCCAGGAAAACCACTTGACAGATTTACTTCAAATTTTCACACATGTTACATGGTAAGTAGCTTTTAGATAACTCTTGTCATCATGTTTCCAGGAAAACCACGTGACAGATTTGCTTCAAATTTTCACACGTGTTACATGGTAAGAAGTTCTAGAGCTGATTAACTTTACGGCGGCAATCTTGCATTCTGGTGGCTATCTTGGAAGTTTTTAGATAAATCATGTCATCGTGATTCCAGGAAAACCACTTAGCAGATTCACTCCAATTTTTTTGACACATGTTATGTGATAAGAAGTTCTAGGACTGATTAACTATTCGGTGGCAATTTTGCATTCTGGTGGCCATCTTGGGAGATTTTAGATAAATCATGTCATCACAATTCCAGGAAAACCACTTAACGGATTTACTTCAAATTTTTATTACACATGTTACATGATAAGAAGTTCTAGACCTGATTAACTTTTCGGCAGCCATCTTGCTTTCTGGTTCATCAAGCCCACACTGCTATGTTTTAGGTACGGTATTGTTCACCCTGTGCCTTGTATAATTGATTCCATAGAAGAGATTGGTATTGTTTTTTTTTGATTTTATAAATGAGGGTAATTCAGTAAGTTAAGTAATATCCTTTTTTAGATGTGTTTTTTGATTTTATAAATGGGGGTAATTCAGTAAGTTGAGTAATATCATTTTTTAATGACAGTTATGTTCCATTAGTAAGATTAATCCTTATACTAGTATACAGGCATGTTGACTTATGTTTGGCCATATAAGTTGTTTTTTTAGGAATTAGGGGAGCTCGGTAAATCTAGTTTATTGAAATCATCTTCATGAAGATAAAACAAGCCATCAAAAAGTTTACAATATGTAAACATTTAGAGGATGAAGCTAGCAATTAGTTTAAAGAGTTTTCTTATTAAAATAATCTACACATGTTTACAAATACAGTTAGGGCCGAGGCAGTGCATTATTGGCCCTTTTAATTAAGTATTAATGTAAGTAAAAGATAAGCTAGCAATTAATCTTAGTCCCTCCGTTTAAATACCTCTGAATGGTCAAAAATAGTTGTCACATTTGGCCCTGTATACCACTGCACAATTCTGGAATAATTGAACTGTTCTTTTTTATTATTCTACAACACATATTAGTCATTACATTGAATCCAAGTATGTTGCCTAACAACAAATTAAGAACATTTTTTTTCAAATATTGAAACGTCTATATTCTAAATATGTACATGACGCATATGTTAGTTACAAGGAATGTCTTCACCAATTAACAAATCTTTATTTTTGTCCTTGAACAGTCTGAATATTTGAAATGAAGAAGGGATGAAGGGAAGATGAAAATAAGTTTTGAAAAATTAACAATTTCACAATATTCCGTACCCCTTGATTTGATATTGCAAAAAGGCAGTTTAAATGAATTTGGACTTCTGAACAGATATCATATGTGAAATTAGAGGTCACCTTTGAAAAGATTTCTTCCAACATTTTACACTCCATCCCTTTTTCATTTTAGTTGTGTTTACACTCCAGAACATTTTTATTACAGTTACAGAACTTCAAACACTACAAGTGAAAATATTTGAAGTTGAAATATGAAAAGTATTGAAGTAATGTCTAAACAATGTTACACTACACTTCTACAGGGTGGGCCAAAAAATTGGATCATTTAATTATCATTGTTTTACCATTATCTGAATTTTTGTGGACTGAACTGCAATAATAAAGACAATTCAATAAATAGAAAAATCTTCCAATTTTATTGGCCGACCCTGAATATATACAGGGTGGTCCAAAAAAATGGGACACTCGTAATTCAAAAATAAATATTGATTTTCTTCATGAAAACATGTCATATTATATACCAGTGGATAGGAAATTTACCTATCTTTAATTTGGTATATCATAAATTCAAATTTATTATAATGTCTGTCAACCAGCGTCCGTTATATAAATGATGTCATTTTAGTTTCAAAACAAGTTTTTTGTCAACTTTATCTACACAAACATATGTTCAATATGTCCACCATTTTGATCAATTATAGCCCTCAATTTTGGCCTAAACTGGTCAAAAACATCATTGATATTCTGTTGAGACTATGAATTCCACTTCTCGACAAGTCTATTTTTAATAAGGGACTGAGTAGATGTTAAGGGTTCATGGTAAACCAGTTCTGTTAGTTCTCCCTATACGTGGTAGTCGCAGACATTGACATCGCACTATCCAATTATGTTGTTTTTAGACCATCCTGACATGAACTCATTCTCAAATCATTACATTTTCCAACAAGATGGGGCCCCAAGCAATAGATCTCACAAGAGTGTTGAATGTTTAAAGGAAAATGTGCCTAGATGCATCCCCCTAATTGCTGACTCCCCAGACCAGATCACACGATCACCCAAGGTCTGTGACTACCACGTATGGGGAGAACTAACAGATCTCGTGTACCATGAATCATTTTCATCTATTCAGTCTCTTGAGGACAGAATTGAATTAATGAGAAGTGAAATTCATTGTCTTAACAGCATATCAATGATGCTATTGGCAAGTTAGGCCAAAATTGAGGGGTACAATTGATCAAAATGGTGGACATATTGAACGTCTGTTTATGTAAATAAAGTTGACAATAAAACTTGTTTTTGCAAGTTTTGGAAAACCCGTTTTGAAATGAAAATGACATCATTTATATTATAGACGCTGGTTGACAGACATTATAAAAAATTTGAACTTATGATATACCAAATTAAAGATCAGTAAATTCCCTATCCACTGGTATATAATATGACATGTTTTCATCAAGAAAATCAATATTTATTTTTGAAATACGAGTGTCCCATTTTTTTTGGACCACCCTGTATAATCTTATTTGTTGTCAAAATCCAATCATGGAAATTTTTAACCACTCTGCTCTGTAATAAAGTGACATTTAAAAAAACGTTCACACTTAACTTCCGGGCCATATACACTGTATATGCAGTTATTTTATGTTAACCGATGACCCACTCTCCCGCTCTTGTTGACAAAACAGATTTTCTAGAAGTACAAATTATTGTTTGATAAAAAGTGTGATCTAAAAATATTTTTCCCTTCCTCATTTAATGAAATTGCCTTTTACTACAAGTCTACTAAACAAAAGCGCAAATAAGCATAATTTACTCAAACATGTTCATCAGGTTGGATTATTAAATCACTAAAACAATTTTTCTTCTTTACACAACCTTGAACAGGGATCAGTGGAACTATAAATTGGCGGGAATTTGGAATGAAATTTTGGGGAATTTATATGACGTGATATTGCTTTTTATTTAATTATTTTGTAGCGCTTCAGTTCAGTTTTGCTACAGTTGATAAAGGATCCAGGTGTGATCCGAAATGTTCTGTGTTTTCAAAATAAAGGTTATGTGTAAAGATAAAAATTGTTTTAGTGAAGCATAATTTAGTTTGAAACGTTTGAGATGGTGCTCATTTAAGAGAGTTGCTCTTCAGATGTCTCACAACCAAAGGCTTCCTTAAGAGCACCTTGGAAAGCATTGTAGCTGAACACATAGATAAATGGATTGACACAACAGTTGACATATGAAGCAATAACACTTGGCTTATAGATGGGGCTCTCAAAGTTCGGCAATACCCCAAGGCTGTATAACATGTAGTATGTCCCATTTGTTATCCAGCAGAGGAAAAAACAAACGGAAACCAGAAGTAGGGTTCGAATAATGTTAATTTTTGCTTTTGACATCTGCGTGTCACGATGTGAGGATGTGTCCGTCATCTTGGCCTGTCTGTATATCTCCATGGCGATCCTAATGTAACAGCCAATGAAAATGCCAACAGGGATGAACACCATAACACAAACTGTCACCACGCCACACACATTCCGAAACAGCTCACTAGGATATCCAGCCCACGGTTTACATGTTATCCCATCCAAATAAGTCGTCCAGATATTTAAACTTGAAAATATGAGTCCACTTAGCCAGACTACACCTATCGCAATTGAGACGTTCATACCTGTGAACTTCAGCGTGTATATGAAGGGGTGGATCACTGCGAAATAGCGTTCCAACGTCAGAGCCACGAGATTGAATGTTGATACAGTCATAGTGCTCCATAATGTATATTGTGAGAGCCAGAGCTTACAATACAGTTCAGCTACAATTCCAGGTTTAGTGATAAGTCCATTGTCATCAAAAAGGTGGTTGAGAATCAAAAACATTGATGCCAATGTATCGACTGTACTTTGGTTTATAATCAACATGTTTGTGATCTTACGCCTTTGGATTCTGGAATTCATGAAAACAAATACCACGAGGATATTTCCACAAAATCCTACCGATCCCAAACCATAGAATATAACTTTATAAATGGCTGAATCAACTGCGCTTGTATTGTTTCCTGTTGGGTGAATCGTTGTATTTTCTCCATCCTTAACCATCAGAGTCTCACTTTGTGTTGTCATATCTTTACTGAAAGTTATGTTACTAAATGTTGAAAAAGCCCTTTTTCTCTGCTATCGTATCCCTTCAACGGCTAACTCCTATTTTAGCATTGCTCAAATACAATGTTTTATATATGGTCACTACAGAGTGGGGCAAAAAATGTCATTATTTCAAAAGAATAGATTTGTAGTAATATGCTGTTTATACAGGGTGTGCTGATTTATACAGGGATATTATTAAGAATCTGACTGGTCAGTAATCACTTAAATGGATTTTAGATTGTCACTCGATATGAAATCCTCTCGGAGTATCCCTGACCTGGTGAAAGAGCTGAAAATACACAATAGTATGCATTTAAAACATGCATATGTAGCAATATATCTGATGGCAAGCATTTAAACCAGAAACAGATCCCTGTTCATGTATTGATATTGAAAATGTACTCAAACTTGTGTCACCCATTCAATGTAAGTTTATTTATGTATATTAACTTGAAATAGATATTAAATATATTAAATTATTTGTATTGTATTGATGAATTAAGTTGGATTTACAGCAGCTGTTTTCCGAAACTATTTTTGGATATATTAAAATTTATTATATATATGTATAATCCTTAACTCTATCAGATTCTGCTATGTTGTTTGTGCAAGCAGCCGTTTCTGCCTTTTTTGCCACTCCTCTCCAGCCCCTCCTTGGCAGTGCCATCTTTATCACCTCATACATCCGACCAATCAAATTCTGGGAAAGAGATTACAAGTAAGTCTTCATTTTTATTTATTTATGTTAATGTGTTTTCAATCAAAATTAAAGAGAATCAGATATAGCAAGCAGGCTAAACAAAAAATTGTTTCAATTTTAGAATATTTTTGGCACATGTCATTCCTTGTCATGTCTATTTTCTAAAAATCACAAAAGTGCATACTTTATTCTAGGCAAACTGAAGATTTTTACAATAAGGTATTATTTTTCTATAAGAATGGTTACCATTCTTATTATTTGGGAGAATTTAAACATTTTTCACCCATTTTTGCAGTTTGAATCATTAATAACTTTGCCTATTTGTAACACATTGTGTATCTTTTTGGAGATATTGTATTTCATATTGTAAGGAATCGATTGGTAGGTTAATTATACATGTTGCTTGTAATTTTGTCAGCCCTATAGGTCTGATTCTGCCTTTAAATATTTGTGTAAATAAAAGACAGCAACCAAAACAGATAACAAGCAAGGACTTGCAGGGACTCAGAATTGATATTTCTAATACATGCGTATAGGGTAGTATAGGCTATACATTCATCTGATACTTGAAAATTTGCATTGAATGTCACTCAAAATTGAAACTTCTGATTGAGTTGAAGGCGAAGTGACACAAGTTGCCCGGATATAACCGACCAAAAGCCGGAATTTCACATAGCTTTTCTCGAAGTATCTCGTAGCGTTTTGGCCCATATACATGAATGCTTCCTTTTTTGCCTATTTACGGAGAATACACTTGGTGATTGTTGCTACTGAATTTCATAGAGATTTTGAAGTGAGTTGAAGTGGGGTGTCACTCAATTTTCTCTCGATTCCTCGTTATCATGTAAATATCTCTTTTGTAAATGCAGTAGGGGTTCTGGAAGTGTTTAAATGGTGTTACCCCAAGTGTTGGAGCAATTATTGATATGGCTTTACTGTAGATAAGAGAAAAACATATTGACTTGAATGCTTTTGGAGCAATTATTGATATGGCTATACTGTAGATAAGAGAAAAACATATTGACTTGAATGCTTTTGCAGCAATTATTGATATGGCTATACTGTAGATAAGAGAAAAACATATTGACTTGAATGCTTTTGGAGCAATTATTGATATGGCTATACTGTAGATAAGAGAAAAACATATTGACTTGAATGCTTATTTTGCATTCTGGCGGCCATCTTGGAAAGTTCTTGGAAGTTCTAGAGCTTATTAACTTTCTGGCGGCCATCTTGCATTCTGGTGGCTATTTTGGAAGTTCTTAGATAAATCTTGTCGTCAAATTGTGTATCTCATTTGATCTATTTTTACTCCTCTCATATAAAGATATTTTTGTGAGTAGATATTAAATTTTATGTTATGTTACATGGTATCAAGTTCTAGAGCTGATTAACTTTTCGGTGGCCATTTTGCATTCTGGCGGCCATCTTGGAAATTTTTAGATAGATCTTGTCATCACGATTCCAGGAAAACCACTAAATGGATTTACTTCAAATTTTTACACATGTTACATTGTAAGAAGTTCTAGAACTGATTAACTTTTCGGCAGCCATCTTGCTTTCTGGGTCATCAAGTCCAAACTGCTATGTTTTAGGTACAATATTGTTCACCCTGTGCCTTGTTGCATGTTTGATAACGCATACATCAAGATTGGTTACTTTATTGTTAATGGTTGTGGGCAGTTGATGGAGATCATTATCAAAGCATGAAGGCTTTTATATTTATTTGAGTTGTGTGCGGTTTGGAGTCGCTTGATCACTACTTTAACCCAATATGTTATATCAATTATTGGGTTTACATGATTTCAACATAATTCTTACAGAAACATTAGTTAATCTATCTCAATTTAATACTATATTCTTATACCGAAGGGGTCCCTATCGCAAAGATATATATTACAATAGACAATATATTTTATATATGTTTTTACTTACTTTAGTTGCAGTACATTAACCTGTTCATTACTTTGGTTGGTGCTGGGGAGGCTGGTGGGCTTTCCATGCTATGAGTTCACAAACTGATTCCCGCCAAATGTAGTCACGTGACATTTCTTCCTTATTACATGGTCTACATAAATTAACTCACCTATGCACTTGTGCCATCTATACATCACTTACGAGATAGATTTAACTGTATGAATATCTAGTGATCTGAGACAACTCCAAAACACATAAATATTTATATTTCATATAAGTCATTTATCGTCTCCAATCACTCAAAAGCGAAATTGTCACATGTGTCAATAGTTAATGAGCCACCGTGATTATGCCCTATTGCGTACTATTAATGACGACTAGATACTGTGATTATGTCACTTTAATGCCATATATCTGCACAGGATACTCCGTCAAGTAGGTAGTTAAGAAGACAAATCGAAGGTTCTTCTGATTTGACCACCTGTGGAGGATTAACCAGGTCCAAATAGAGAATTAAATATAATGCTCGTTGTGATTTTTGGCGAATTGCCATTCTGATATTCATCACATCGTTCCGTTTTTCTACAAAGGAACTAATAGAAGGCCATAACACACTGCTGCATGGTTTGCGGTGTGGAAACTCAATGCGCGAGTGTAGAAATAAGTTCGGGAGAGAGGAACTGGTGGTTCGCGACTAAAGAAACGATATTCGCGTTGTGAGAACATGGGTTGGGTGGAAAAGTGGTCAGCGAGGTCGGAACTGATGACTGCATGAGTTAATGTTGATTGGACATCATGGTGCAGAGAAATCGTAATTTTAATGAGTGGCTCTACAAAAAAATAAACACATTTTAGTATTAGATCTACAGTCATTGGATGTATCAGGAGATTTCATGTATTAAATCAAGGGCGAACGTAACACCCATAATGTGCCTCATTCGCAAATTCAAAATATATGGCGTTCTGTTTTTTACCGTATGCTGTTCTATCAACCAATAGAAGGACCATACAAAGTGTTGTTTCATTTTGTTCAGTACACATACATGTACTGAGCCCCTGATATTAAACAAACCCTTAATTAAATTCCAGCACCAAGAGAGTTGACAACACAAACACGCGTCTTTCCTCCCAACTGGAGAAGAACCCAGGAACAGATGATGACAACCTCAATTCCATCTTCTATGAGCATCTCACAAGGTCTCTCCAACATAGCCTTTGTGGCGATCTGGCTATTGGACGGTGGGGGAATGCTGCCCAGGGGGACACCTTCATCATGGCATCTGACTACCTCAATGCACTCATACATATCATTGAGATGGGAAATGGACTTGTGACCTTTCAGCTAAGAGGACTGGAATTTAGGGGTATGTAGTTTTATGTTGAGTGTAACAAATTTAGGTGGTGACATTTTACATGTTAATGTCTTGTTTGTTATGTTGTTATACAATACAAAGTTCTGAATGGCTCCATGATTTATTTTTATGAAATGATTTTTTTCACATATCGCCTCTTTATACTTTGTTGTGGTCGCCAGGTTGGCCTAGTGGTTAAGGCATTGGTCTGAAAAGTAGGAAGTCTGGCTTCAGGCTGAAAAGTAGAGGTCTTGGGTTCAAACCCAGGTCACAGCACTTCTTGTGATTTGTCTTTGACCTATGACTGCTGACCTATACCGGCGATTACTAGAGTGCTGCTAACTCGATAAAAGGCTGGCGCTGGCTAGAATTGTCTATGGTTCTAGCCAGGATAAAGATACCAGTTCTTCAACTCGACAATGGGAAGAACTGCTGTATGGATGTTCCTTCATTGAATTAACTTAAGTGTTTATTCCACTTTTAGATGGCACTTTCATTATAATAAAGCTTGACCATTTTGGACCACTCTGAATTTACCTTTTCATTAACAACACTTATATTTGCATTATAGTTAACATATATTTTCCTTGTGTGATTAGGGTAATATTGATTACTTTATTCTTTGATATAGATAATTATCATTTCTTATTCTCCCCGTTTCAGGCACCTACTGTCAGCAGAGGGAGGTTGAGGCTATTACAGAGGGAGTAGAGGAGGATGGAGGTAAAGTAGAACAAATACACAATTACATGTTATACGACATATGCATCAAAACAAGTCTAGGTTTTGCAATTTCCAGATTGCATAGCTAAAAGTGTTCACCTTGGGAGGTCTTCATACATTTTTAATTTTTCTGTTTTTTTTCCATTAACATGAGTAGGTTCTGATAGCATTGATTACAATTGAATTTGAAAAATCCATACTCTTTTACTCGTGTATATTCCTTTCAATCGTATAAGATAATCAAGACGTACACGTGTTGAGGTGTTACCCTGTATTCAATCTTATATATTTGCATATTTGAGACAACGGAGTAATACAGCCAATCAGCTATAACACAGTAAATACTCAATCTTACGGAATTTCCTTTAATATGCGATGATTTATTCTCATTTATTTTATCTCAGGGTTTTGCTGTTGCGAACCAGGCCACCTGCCTCACTTTCTCTCTCTGAATGCCGCCTTCAACCAGCGCTGGCTCGCTTGGGAGGTGACAGTCACCAAGTACATTCTTGAGGGATACAGTATCTCTGACAACAGCGCCATCTCTATGCTACAAGTCTTCGATCTCAGGAAAGTCCTTATCACATACTATGTTAAGGTATGTATAATGCTTGGTGAATGCTAAGACAATAAATCATCGAACCCCCAAATCCCCACTGGCCTGGGTCTGCATGTTATTGTTAGGCTACCTGCATTTTTCGCATTACAAATTTCTATGCAATAAATTATTATGACCATATAAGGCATGTACATATTGCTTTCAGAGTATTATCTACTACACAGTTCGCTCCCCAAAATTGGAACAATGGCTAGAGAATACAGATATCCAGAATGCATTGCAACCTGCCCTCGATAAAAACTACGTTGATGTTGACCCAATGTTTAACATTCACGTTGATGAGGATTATGACCATAGAGTTGGGATATCAGGAGTCTCAAAACACAGTTTCTGTAACGTCTACCTGGAGTGGATTCAATACTGTGCATCTAGGAGAGAACAGGTAAATAGGGTGATCCAGATAATTCATTAGCTCAATGAATATTTTAAGATGTACTTTAGTTATTTATTATGTCACATTTAGAAATTGGTGACATTTTGTTTTAGACTCCAACTTTTTTTGGATGGTGTTCAGTAATTGGTTTTCAGCAGTTGCTGTTCAGCTGTCGGCATCCAATATCTGTAAAAAATGGCAGGTGGTTAAATTTTGCATGTTAATGCCTTGTTTATTTTGCATCATCTTCGGACCGGAGTGTTCCAAGATCCATAAATATCTTATGTATCAAATGAACAAAGCTTGAATTTTACCAAAATATCAATGTTTTTACTTCAAGGAAGATGGGCTTTACCTCACCAACTGTTTATATATTCATCCCACACTTGAATGTGGATACTTGAATACTTTGATATTGTTATTTTCATGAAGCAAAACAAAATATTTTTGAATTGGACCCTTATGTTGAAGCCTAGGGGTAATGTTTATAATATGTTTGTATATTATGTGATTGTGTTTAAGGCTGTGGACAGTGGGAAGGATTCTCTCCTGGTGTGCCTATGTTACTGCCTCAGCCTGTTGGGACGTAGAGCTTTGGGAACAGCCTCGCATAACAACTCATCTGGCAGGTAAATAAAACTCAATTGTTAAACACATGGACAGGTATCAGGCAGGTGAGGCAATTGCCTGACCAAAATTTTACTGAACAAAATACTATTGTGTGACTATTTTGGAAATTTAGAATGATGTCCAGTTCTATATACATGTACATGTATATAAGTAGCCCAGCAGTATTGCATCCACATCAAACAGATTTTATAGTTATTTTATTTTAATTTAGGCTGGATATGCTATTATATTAAAGCTCAATGTGAAAGTTCAGAATTGCTTATGCTATGCAACATTAACAGTAAACAAATTAAAGAGAATTTTCACAATATTTATTCATTATACTTCCAGCATTGACTTTTTTCTTTATGGCCTACATGCACTGTTCAAAGGAGACTTCCGCATCACCAGCCAGAGGGATGAGTGGGTGTTCGTTGACATGGAGCTACTTAGACGTGTCGTGGCCCCAGGGGTCAGGATGTCTCTCAAACTACACCAGGTAGACTTTCTTACTTTAATTCTGTAGTTTGGACCATTTTACCAGATGTACACCCGTAGTTTTCTATTTTTCTATAACATGTGTTTTAGACAAGAATGCTCATCAGCTGACACAAAGGAAGTGGCAATATTATGAGTATATACTTGTCAGTGAACTGATGAGTCTTAAACAGCACTCATGTATTTAACTGCTGGGTAGCAGGCGACATTCATTTAAATATGAATGGAATAGTCGCAGATACTATTCATAGTAGGTTAATCCATCAGCTGGCAGTTGAATCCCCCAATGCTATCTTACCAGACCTATATTATGTAGCAAAACAATAATTTGATGAAATTATTACAGTCCATATTTCTATAATATTTTCTGATTGCAGGATCACTTCAGTTCTCCAGATGAATATGAAGTATGCCAGGTACTCTATGATGCCATAACTGAACATGAGCAGACTATGGTCATATCACATGAGGCTGATCCTGCCTGGAGAAATGCAGTATTGTCCAACACACCCTCTCTGCTGGCTCTCAGGTATGTTTAGCAAATGAAATACTTGATAAGCATTGAGATAAATAAAGCAGGGATTTTCATATTTTTTAGTTTCATTTTCCTTGTTTGCTTCATCTGATGGTTTCTGTATGAATGAAATGTCCCTTGGTGTTATGGTCCTGGATTGTGATAATAATGTTTCATGGAGTAATTTGATAGATTATCTTGATAGATCGTAGATTTATGATCTCTATGTTTATTACAGACATGTGTTGGATGATTCCCAGGAGGAGTACAAAATCATAATGCTCAACAAACGCTTCCTCAGTTTCCGGGTCATCAAGGTAAGTCAAAACTGAAACAGGTTGAATTGTGTGAATGGATTTTAACATATAAAATAATACTTTAACATGTCCTACCTTTATGACCTTATCAAATTTAAAACAGTTGGGAGGAGAGGGGGGGGGGGCAGATGAAAATACATTTTACTGTCCCTGAATAGTACTAAATATTATGCATTATTTCAGTCTAAGTATTCACTTTCAGTATGTTATAAGATCAAGGTTCCTTATAACCTTTCTTATGGCCAAAGTTGTCCTTAATTTTTTAAGAAACTGAAATTAGCCTAGAATCTAAAGTTTTATGTGATCTACCTATTGTTGGCAAGACCCTCTGCTTTTCCATCATACATTTTGCATTTGTTACATAATCCTATTAATATTCAAAATAAGAATGAATTTGTTGCTAGTCTCTTGTATTGCAACATACATCATACAATCATGTTGTTTCTGGATTTAGGTTAACAGAGAGTGTGTTCGGGGATTATGGGCAGGTCAACAGCAGGAGCTTGTGTTTCTAAGGAATGTTAACCCAGAGAGGGGAAGTATCCAGAATGCAAAGCAGGCACTTAGGAATATGATCAACTCATCATGTGATCAACCAATAGGGTACCCAGGCTTAGTATATACTATCTTTGTCTCTTAATTGTTGATTTGGTTTGAGTTTCAATTATCTCAAAAGATACCACAAGGCATGTATGTGTGGTAGGATAATCTAACTTGATATCTGAAGGTAGAAACAATTAATCTGAGTGAAGTATGATATCTAAATATGTAAAAAGCACAAAAACACATCAGAGAAAACAGAATAAAAGAAAATCCATATGAGTTATGTACAATATTGTGTTGTTGCTTTTACTATCTTTGTCTCTTAATCTAAGAGAGAATAATATTATATAAAATGCAGATTGGAGAAATCAGAAAGATAAAAGTCGAGTCAAATCATACGTGTCAAGATTAATATAGAAAGCAACATGGAAAACAGTTTGACCGAGAAAAATCACATCCCTGCAACTAACCCACTTATTTTTGGTATATTAAATAGAGCAAACTTCAATAATTCAACAAATTCTTATTCTGCATGCCAAAAGTACCACAGATATTAAATGAACAGAACTTTTTTCCAGGTATCCCATCTATGTGTCACCTCTCACTACGTCATACTCTGGCACCAATCAGCATTACAACAGCATTATTGGCAGCGAGTTCAGTCTCAAGGGGGTCAAGACAGCCATCAGGAATGGTTGGAAGAGGTATGAATAAATTCAGTGTAAATACCAAAATATTATGTCGTCCCAATCTAGCAAATTACGCACCCAAGAACATTGCACGATCTCCAATTGCGTGCTATTATCATTGTTGCCTCAAAGCATAATAACTCTCTCTTCAGTTCCAAACATTGTGCCCTTATGCACCTATTTGCTATGTCCTTACCAAACTTAAAGCATAATCTATCCTCCCAAAGGATGGATGCCCTTATGCATCTCTTAGCTATGACCTTTCCATGATTCATGCTTCCCAAAAGCAATATCGCCCCCAAGGCATATATCTCTACACACTCCCAAAGTGTGTTCAACCTAGAGTGCCCCTTATGGCCTCTAAAATTCCATGCATGCTTCCCAAAAGCAATATTGTCCCCAAGGCATATATCTCTACACACTCCCAAAGCGTGTTCGACCTAGAATGCCCCTTATAGACTCTACAATTCCAAGCGTGCTTCCCAAAAGCACAGAGGGCCGTCATGCCCTCAAAATAAATTTTACTCACCTGAAGCTGCCTGGAGTACATCATTCACGTTCCAAAAATTACTCTATACTGATTGTACTTGGTTTTCATATAGATGTCACTGTGGATAAGGAATGTTCCACTCATCAGGATTGCAATATTACATGTACAGTGAAACCTGTATATCTGAACAAATCTCTAATCTTCACTCCTATCCTCAATGTCAACAGTTTTTCTCGGTCTTGAGTTTGTTATCTCCCATTGACTTACATGTTAATATACACCTGGTAATTCAAACACTTTTGGCTGGTCCCAGAGGCATGTTGATGAGACAGGTTTTACTGTATACTGTTGTAGTTATAATGCATTTAAACCATCAGCCATTATCGTTTAAAAGAACATTACTCAAAATACAATTTCAGCCATTTTTCTGCTGCATTTACAGAGCTACAGCATATGTTTAAACGCAACGTCTATATTTGTATCCACCTGTATTGTGCCTATATTTACATTGTTTATTTACAACTTTATTCAGAATGCAAGCTCATTTTTAATGAAATACAGCATATGCTTAACTGGAACGCCTATATTTGTATTCACCTGTGAAAAATCTGTATTTACAATTTTCATTTTATTTAGAATGCGAGCTCATTTTTAATGAAATACAGCATATGCTTAACTGGAATGCCTATATTTGTATCCACCTGTGATGAGTCTGTATTTACAATGTTCACTTTATTTAGAATGCGAGCTCATTGTGGTGCAAGCTGTCACAGTGGAAGTGCAGGTCTGGGAGAAGATGGATGTGGTCAACCTTGTCCCCCAACACAAACTCAGCATTCTACAGGTAACATTGCAAATCTTGTCCATAAAATATCCTCATCTGTATGATAAGATCGTTGGAAACTGTTTCCTTGTTTAAACTTCCTACTTAAATATTCTTGCAATATCATGGTCACATTTGTCCCGATTTTTAGAACCAACACCCGGCCGATGAGTACTTTGTTAAAAATTGCATTCAGTTTTGAACAAAGTACTCAATGACCAGGTGCAGGTGTTTAAGATTGGAGTATAGTGACCACTGCATACTGTTTTGTTTTGAATTGTACTTATTTTATTATTTTATCGCATCATTTAGGTGGAGATCGCAATCTCACAGTGCCTCCTGTTGGTCAAACTGATGGCAGCGCACAGACGTTGGCCACCAGGGGGAGTCTGATATCAACTTCAAGTTCAGCCAGCAAACCCAGCTCTGCCTTTGTTAGCATAGCTGGACTTATAGCAGATAGCACAAGTGCCAAAGATCCAATTTCTCACAGGGTTCAGGTTTGTACTTTGTGATAAGGAATCATCATTTTATGTCACCACCAAAAGGGGTCATATCCACCCTTTATTTTGTGAAAAAGAATTACCATTTTTATGTCAACACCAAAAGGGGTCATAGCCACTGTTGAGTTTTTTATAAAAGAATCATAATTTATAATTATTCAAACTGTCCATATTGCAGATTTTTTCATTCTTTCAGATTACTGATCCTAACATGGTATATGACAAAATCAACCTTGGTCGAAGGATTGATGTCCAGTGGCCTAATGAGGACTGGCGTCATAATGGGGGCAAGAACCATTGGAGTGGTTGGACCCCTGAGCGGGACATGGAGGGTACGGTGGTCCATCGCTGGCTGCCATGTCATCGTGATCCCCTCAAACGCTCACACGTCGACAAAGTGATCCTACTGGTGCAAATAAATGATAAATATGTGCCAATTAGGGAGGAAGGGATCCAAGATCTTGGAGCTGAGGTGTGATTCTGAATGATGCGATTCAAACCACAAATCTGAGATGAAACTTGTGTAGGAATGAGAGTGGTCAGATGCATCATTCAAACCTGTAGACACAAGAAGAATGTAAACATAATGTCATTATTAGACATATATATTCATATTTTATATTGACAAAGAGGAATGGAGAGAAGATGTCATAATTGATTAAAAAGATCTCAGTACTTATTGAATATCTCTCAAGTATTGTAAAGTACTATTTATTAACTGAATCCTAAGGGAAGAATAATCACAATGCAAAAATATCTGCATTAAGGGACAAGGTCAATATTTCAATGTTGTTCTAAATGTAATTAAAATTATATTTCAGCGTACATCCCATCCCCTCTTCCTCCCTTCCAAATTGATTTTTTTTAAAATTAATAGTCATTTTCTCTAAAAATACAGAGACATGAACAAAACGTGTCGGTCTTTTATATTCTCCTTCCAAAATGTAATGATAATAAATTTTTATAATTTTTTTATTTAGCCTTGAAATATAATTATTATGTTTTGTGGACATACATTGATGTGTAGACCTTGTCTCAATCGAGAAACATACTAGTAAATTCAACATTAATGTGACTATAAGGCTATAAGGATGGCAGGGAAATGATGAGCTGCTGACTAATGCTGATATGTGAAACAATGCAAATTATCCCTGATTATGAAATAACATTCAAAATTTAGTCAAAGTGATATTATATTTGAAATCTACATTGAAAGAGAAATGTCGCTTAAAAATTGTTTGTCAGCTTTGAAATTTTAAAGTTGATAAAGAATCAAGATTAAAATTTTATCTTTGATGTTTTAGTTCAGGTTGTATTATATGGCTAGTTGGAGGCCATTTTGTTGAATATGAATCAGAAAAACCATGTAGATGGCTGGCAGAGAAAATCATTTGGTCATTTTAAGTAAAATATGATGTAATTTTTCAAATTTCAAATTGATGGGCTTCATTTACTAATGAAATATGCTATGATTGTAAAGCCCATCAATTTTTAAAACAATTAATAGATATTCATGAACAAATTATGTTTGTAAGGACCAGTCCATCAGCTATTGTTGAGTTGATTGTTTATATCTCATTGTGTTTGTATTGAAGACACCAGTTATATTGTGATAGTAGTCAATGGCATTGCAAATTACGTGTAGTGACATACTTTTTGTTAAAAATAATGATGTGTATTTACAGGGTGTTCATAAAGTCCTGATAACATGTTTTATATTATTTTGGTAGGAATTTTGTCTTTTGATAGTTGCATTGATAATTGAAAGTCAAAACAATTTAAAATAACAGAGGTTGCTAAGCCAAGCGTGTTACCATAGAAACCATATGTAGAAACTATTAAGTGAAAGTCAGATATTGGAATTAAGGAATTAAGACCAAGATTTTATGATTTATGGCGTAATATATGACCAAAAATTTTATTTTGTTCATTGTTAGCGATTGAGGTCTTTAGCAATGGCCAGAATAAAATTTGAGGTCATATATTTGACATAACTCATAAAATCGAGGTCTTTGTTACAATTCTAATATGATAAACAGACAAGAAACACAAGTATTTGCATTTATGAATTTTAGCAGTCATAGATACTCCAATATAGACCATTAAATCAATTGTTCTAGTTATTGCGACGTCACGTATCATATTAGAATTACTCATAGAGTATATAAATGTGTGTCAGAATGTTATTAACTATGATTTAATATTAAAAGATTCAGTATTATAGTCAAAACATATTGAACACCCTGTACAATTATGAATAAATGGAGATTAATGAATAGAATCACGTTTCATGACGATCTCACATAATTTTGTCAAAAATGAATGTAGGTAGGGGTATGATAAGTGAATGGAGACATATATCTAAATATTTTAGAATTTTATGAACTGCTCAAGCCAATATTGAATAAATTCAAGATGATTTTCCATGTATCATGCAGTATAAATGAAACACTTAATATAATTAAGGTACGTTATGAGATTTATCTAAATATTTGTATATAAAGAATGACAATGCATAGGAAATGTGTACTTTAAGTGGAATGTAGCAGAGCAGTAGTTGTAGAGCACATGAGCAAATCAGAGAGTCGTGGGTTCAAATCCCACCAGGGTAGAGTGACATATCTCACCAGTACTGTTGTAAGCACAGGGTGAGTTCTATGTTTTTGAATATCGTGTATTCTGACAATAACTCAAAGTGTCCAGTGAAGATGTGTCCAGTCACCAGTATCAATATTATTAATTTAAATGAATACATGTATGTTTATCATAATTACCATGTAATGATTGAGATGTGCAGGCATATATGTATGTACATGTATGGCTACTGATATGGGTGCTGATAGAAATTTACATTGTCCTCTGAAATTGATTTTTTTTCAAAGTACATAATCCCTTTTATATTTCATTCTTTGGTGGAATTTAAACCCCGTGCAGTTTTCTTATTAAATATCCAATTCGTTATGCCTGGGTCATGTTTGCTCTGATTCATCGGCCGGCGCCTGGCTGATTGAGTATTTTGTTCAAAAATGAATGCAATGCTGAACAAAATACTTCATCAGCTGGCGAATCGGAGCAAATGTGACCCACGCATAAAATGGGTCAACCGATACTGTAAGCCTGGAAGGTTTTGGGTTGGCAAATTTTTCCTTTTGATTTTAGAGTTTGAAAGTACAACAATTTAGCATTGAACCATTTCCATGTAGGTCACAGGTCAGAGACTTAAATTCGAAGCTCTTCAAAAACTTTAAAGGCAGGATCAGATCCATAGAGTGTGACAAAATTGCAAGCAACATGAACAGTTGACCTCACAATATATTCCTTACAATCTAAAATATAATATCTCCCAAAAGATCTGTGATATGTTACAAATCGGTGAAGTTATAAATGTATCATTGTAAAATCCTCAACTACTTTCTTGATCTGATTCTACCTTTAAAAACAGTTTTTCATATAAAAGGGCTTATTATTATGTGAAATTCAAAGCCAAAGCAAAATTAAAGTTAAAGGTTTGTATGCATCTAGTTGTTTGTATTTAGAAAATAATGTTTTTATTTGTGCTTTATAAAGTATTGTAAGATAAGATAGCCTGATGGACAACAGGCATCCTGTTATTCTGTATATTTATAAATGAAAGATTGTCCATAAATTGACAATAATTTGAAATGTAATGTAAATGTATTGTTATATTTCATGATGACAAATGTTGACTTTTTAAAAATAAATGAAGTGCAATTTGAAAGTATAATCTGATTAGTCTGTTTCATCTATTCAGTCCTTAGTTATGAGCCTTAAAGTGGTAAGAAAATCCTTAGTTATGCGTTTTAAAGCGGTAACACAGTCTTTAGTTATGGGTTTTAAAGTGGTAACACAGTCTTTAGTTATGGGTTTTAAAGCGGTAACAAAGTCTTATAAGTTATGAGTTTTAAAGTGGTAACACAGTCTTTAGTTATGCGTTTTAAAGTGGTAACACAGTCTTTAGTTATGGGTTTTAAAGTGGTAACAAAGTCCCCCTTGCATGATTACATGAAAAAGTGTGGGCATAGAATCATTGACTGTTATACTATTAATTTATCAATAGAACAATCAGATGTAGACCCAAAGCTTTATCGTGGGTTCCCTAACCTGTACTATCTCACGTAGAGAACTGCATAAGCTTAAAACACTAATAAAATATGGTCAGGAATAATTACTTGAGTAATAGATATGAATTCTTCAAGTTCTGAAAGTCTTGGATAACGGTAACGAAAGAACCAGCAAAAACTATTACTCCTTTGAATGGACTTTGCAAGGGTTTGACCATGGTTAGAACATTTGATGAATTGATATAAAAACATATTCTCAAGAACCACACAACTACGATTTACCAGTGAAATTCTCTGCACAAAACACGAACTTGACATTGTTATGTTTTTATCAGTTTTTGCCCCTTGTGCTTATTGACACATATCTTTTGTCGCTATAGCGAGTAGTATTCTAACCACGATAGGCTTTCTTGATAGATAAAAAAAGTTAGAAAATGAACAGAATTTTACGAATTCAAAGATTTCTTCAAAAATGCAGTGAGTATTGGCATTAAAATATGTCTTATGTTGCCTTACTGATTTTACTGACTTACTGAGTTTTTGCACGGCACTGTATCTGCTCAATAACATTCAGGGGTGAGTTTTCTTCTGTGTTTAACGTCGCAAACTAGAGCGATTTGGACAATGATCTTTCGTCCACGATAGTGCCCACCAAGATGTGACGTGATAACCTCGCGCGTATCAAGATTGATCCATTGGATTCTCGAAAAAATTGTAGCACCCTTGAGAAAATTACTTCTTATTTCATTATTATTGGGAGATATATAGAATGTTATATACGAGCATGGAGCTATTGAAATTGGGTTTCTAAATCATTAACATTCGTAATATAGTATTCAACTATTACACAAATATCATTGTTTAAAGACGAGAAATCGAATTCGCCGACATGTTTGTTTACATTGACAACACTTACTTTAACGATAAATTAGACCCCTTTACATGAAAAAATAATTTCAATCTTTTTTGATTCAGAAAGCCCACATCATAAGCTTATTTTTTCGCTAAATAATAATAGTATTCGTCTCCTAGTGTTCTTCATCCAGCCAATAACAAAATTATTTTTCGATTTTCCGGCATTTTGTATTGGTCTTTGACGGAGAATTAGAAGTACGTTCTTTAGGTTGAATCGGCCAAAACATACTGTAATATATTGGAAACAATCACAATCGCGATAACATGAATGAAATTCATCATAATAATCAAGGTACACGACGAAAAATATCAATTGCGTACATTATCGGACAGACTTTTCGTTTGCCGTCAGGTTCGTTTTTTTTACAATAGGGTTGTCCATTAGATGCGTTTTCGTCTAGTGTGAATATGACGTTTTTACCGGGGATAAAGGAGTATGAACTAGATGGATCCATTGGTCTCTCCAGTCTTTGGAATGAAAAGTGAAATATCAAAGGATGTAACTTATTACTATTCTGGATGAGTATATGCTGATTTTTCCTATATTTAACTGATCCGCCCTTTATTCTCAGGTTATCAATCTACACTCCACCCCAAGTTTTGCAAACTTCCCTATTAGATTACTCTATGCTTGATTTTTAACATAACATGCAATGAACACTTTAAATAAGCAATGAGAACACTTTAAATAAGGGTGCCATTGTTTACCAGCTAAGTCTTAAGTTCAATTTGTGGATATTCTCATGCCTCATATGTTATCTAAAGGGATATGTTTCTTGAAAAAGCATAGTTTTGACTTTGGAGACATATAACTTTATAAAACCTGAAAAATTATATCAAATTTTTTTTTTAAATAACGTTTGTTAAAACATTTTTGGTTTACATCTAGATGACAATTTTTAAAAATGAATTTAATTTGCCATCAATTTGCAATCTTTTGTATATAAAATGAGAAAAAATGAAGCTATACTAGGAAATTATATCAGTTTAGATTTCCAGCCCAAGCAGTTGTTCAAATTAAAGCCAAACTTTTGAAGGGGAGTGTAAGTCTTGGCAGCACTTTGGTTTTGATTATCGTATTGATTTTACAAGCTGATTTTACTATCTTATCAGTTGTCATTGTCACTATATCTCTGTTATAATGTAAGTGTAAAAACAATCATTTTACAAGTTTTTAAGGTTAAAGTTCCACTTCTTTATTTTTCTTTATTTTGATTATTCCTCACATAGGTAAAGGTAGAATCAGATCAAGCAACAAACAATCTTTACTTATATTGTTTCAGTTCTAGAATATATTTGGGTTGCATATGTATCTCACACTTTATTCAAGGAAAACTAAGATTATTACATACAGAGTGAGCCAAAAAAAGGTAACCCAAACAAATGTATGTAAATAACTCAGTCATTCAGCATGGGTTCAAAATCATATTTGGCACAACTAAACCTTAATCAATGTCATTGGTCTGTCCCTTATAGTCACAATTTTATGGTCATCTACAAAACATGGTCCAAATGCTGAAATGACTGACTGGACATAAATCCCATCAGCTTTTTATCTTTGGGTCTATTTTTTCTACACTAACAACCCTTGAAACATTGAAACAAGAGATAAGAAGGAAGATGAGAGCCATAAAACAAAATGTTTATGCTTGTGTTGTGAACAAGACTACGCCCAATACGTTCAAGTTGGCCTCCAGACTTGACGCCCATATTTTATGGCATGTTTTGTAAAATGGCCATAAAATCATGACCACTAGAGATACAACCAGTACAACGGCAACGCCAAAGCGTAGCGAATCCCATCGAACAGCCATGGATGGCATTTTTACAAAGTATATAGCAAAAATGGCAGCCATTTTTCAAAATGGCCGCCTTCTACCAAAAGTGTCATTAGACCATGTGCCATACTTATAGTATTCACATACCAAATATGAACAAAATCGCTTTACTACTTTTCGAGTAATAGTAAAATACATTAAAATGG